AAAGAAGAACGGAGAGAACTGTAAGGCTAACATTTGAGCTTAATCTTAGGAAGCTCAGCGGAGATTTACCTCAGGTGCATCGGGGGACGAGGCAGAGGACACTGAGAACAGGGAAATGCACACACACATCTGCCATGGCAGCCTGGAGACGGGAGGCACAGACTGAGCCAAAGCAGGTAAAAAAGGGAGTGGAGAGGAGGTGAACAGGAAGACAGCAGCAGGACATGGAAGAAATGGACCTTTTCCTGTTGACTATGGAACAAAACTGACAGGGAAGAAATGACGGTTAGATATTGAACCAAGACTACTATGGGTTTAATGAGGAAGGTGCGCAGACCAGGGGAAGGCAAACTGCAAATGTGAGCTAAGAAAAAGTGCTTTTAACAGAAGCCCAGGGTCGGGCGCAGTGGCGCACACCTGTAATCCCAGCACTCGGGAGGCTGAGGCAGGAGGATCATTTTGAGTTCGAGACCAGCCTGGGCTACAAAGTGAGCTCAAGGCCAGCCTGAACTGTATAAGGAGACCCTGTCTCAAAAAGACAAAAAACAAAAGCAAAAAAACAGAAGCCCAATACGGAGAGAGGAAAAGGTTATGCATCTCAGTGGAGTAGCTATTACATCAAAATTCATCAATAAAATAATATGGCTGGGCGTGGTGCTAAGTCCAGTAGCCAGGAGGCAGAGGGGGGACTGCCGAGAGTTCAAGGCCACCCTGAACTATGTAGCAGGACCCGTTTCAAAAAAAAAAACAAAAAAACAAAACAAAACAAAAAAAACCAACAGGATAAAGAATGAGTTGTTTTAAGCACTATCAGAAATCTGCCCTGAGGGGCTGGGGATTTAGCTCAGCAGCACAGGCCTGCCTGGCAAGCACAAGGTTGTGAGTTCGATTCCCGGTACCAGGAAAAAGAGGAAAAAAAAAAAAAAAAAGAAATCTGCCCTGAATGTAGATTATTATTTTATGTTTGCCTCAGCTTTTTTAAGAGATAAGTAATTAAAGGAGGCCACGCCTATCTGCACATATGGGACACTGCATGTCACTGCTTGTGTGTATTTCCGGACATGCAGTAATCTGCTTCGCACTGACCCCCGGAGCGGATTCCGCCGGCCTGGCCGACCCTGTGGGTGCCCCCTCCCCTCAGCTTCCCGGGGTCCCAGAGGAAGCTGTGCACGCACTGGGAGAAGACGCTGTCCTCGTCGGAGGCTGACTGTGCGCCCCTGCCACACCCTTCAGAGAAGCTCCAACAGTTACTCCTCACCAAGAAAGCACACAGAGGCTTCACTGGCTCAGTGCAAACCTGCTGTGTATAATGCTGCTGCCCCCTGCTGTTCGTGAACCTACTGGACTTGCAGTTTTTTTCTGGAGTCACATAAAGCAGGAGTTCACAAAAAAACCAATCACAGGACAACAGGAAAACACGTATTGTATACAATATACAATAGTTAAAAAGAAACTTATAGATTAGAAGTTTCCTTTTAAACATAAGGCATTTATTTTCTTTATAAATTGGTTCCTCTTTTGGTTTTCTCCGTGCAATTAGTATGTTAAGCAGCTATGCTGAGCTTGGTAAAATGTCATTCTGTTCTTTAAAAAAAAAAAAAAAAAAAAAGAGGTTGGTTAAGGTCTCAATGAGCAGGGTACACGTAAGGCTAAACACACTGACACAGAAAGAGACGGAGTTCTTACAGCTGCTCTTCCCCCACTCCCAGTCTCTGACCCAAACGACCTCAGCCACCTCACAGGGCACCAGCTGCCAACCCCACAATGTGAATGAAGCACTTGATTTAGACGTTATAATGTCTCACAGGTCTAAATAACTTTAACATGGAAAAAAGACAGAAATTACAGACCCCATTTCAAAACTCTCATTGAATATATTAGGCCACACACCTGCGGGAAGGCTGAGGAAGCAAGCCAACCCACCTCAGCCACAATTCCCAGCTTCCGCATTTATCCTAAGGCATCAGAAGACCCGCCCAAGACTGCAGAGCAGGCCCCCTTGCGAGAGCAGGCAGGCCCACACCACCACCCACTCCAAGCTGGTTTCATGTTTTGCTTCTCCCCGGCATGGGGCAGCGGAGACGTAGACTGACCGGTGGACCTGATCCTGGAGGAGAACACCACTCTGGAGGACAGCAGAGCCAGGGACTCCAGTGCCTGGGTGAGACACAACCACAGGAGACCACCATGGACAGGCAGCGGGCCAGACATGGGCCCCCGCCCCTTGGAAGTGCAAGCGAGGCTCTGAAGGACACTGGCCTCGCCTCTGTAGCGAGCAGGCCTCGTGAGCCTTCCACAGTTCACCTGATCCCAGCCTGTGGCCAGCGTCCAGCAGAGACCAGACGGCTGACCATGTTTCCCGCCTACCTATGTTAGCAAGGACACACCTAGACCTGAACAAGGTGAGCCCAAACAAGGACGTGAGGGTGATCGGGCTGCGATGTCAGCACCCCACTGACTGCCAGGGTTGAGTCGGCTGATCTGGCTGGCTAGGCAGGGTCCCCTTCCTCCCTCACTGCTCCACGTGTCCCTCCTGAAGCTGCGTGCTGAGTGGAAGAGGACAACCACCCTGACAGAGGAGACCCGTTTCCTCAGTCAAGAGCATCTGCATAGCTGCACAACCCTTCCAAATAAGCTCCTGGAGGGGCTAGGGATTTAGCTCAGCGGCAAAGCGCCTGCCTGGCAAGCGCAAGGTCGTGAGTTCGGTTCCCGGTACCGAAGAAAAAACAAAAAACAAAAAAAAAAAACAAAAACAAATAAGCTCCTGGAAGCTAGCACTTCCCTCCTTCCAAACCAGACAGAGACCCAGTAAAAAGAGAGAACTAGAGACCAATTTTTTTAATGAAAATAGATGTAAGAATCCTCAACAAGATACTGGCAAACAGGATGCAACAAATCATCAGAAAGATCACACAGCAGGACCAAGTGCGCTACATCACAATGCCTATGCCAATCCCTTCAGCTCATCAGAGGCACTGTTTCATTTCACATCTCAAAAGGATTAGTCCATTTTACTATTAGTATTGTTAATCTCTTATTATCCTCATCTGTAAATCAAACTTTATCACAGGTCTGTGTGTACAGGGAAACACATGGTGTAGCTATAGGATTCAGTCGCAGCCATGATGTCAAGTACGTGCTGGGGAGTCTTGAAACAGTTTCATGGATAAAGGGGGTCCAGTGTGCCTGAAGTTGAGTCACAGATCCTTTCTCCAGAAAATACTACACACATACAAAATCTTTCATAAAATTTCATGAAGCCACAGCCAGGTGTGGTGGCGCATGCCTGTAATCCCAGCACTTGGGAGGCTGAGGCAGGAAGATCATTGAGAGTTCGAGGCCAGCCTGGGCCACAAAGTGAGTTCAAGGCCAACCTGAACTGCATAGTGAGACCCAGCCTCAAAAAGACAAAAAAAAAACAAAGAAAGAAAAGAGAGAAAAAGAAAGAGAAAGAGAAAAAGAAAAAGAAACTGGGGTTTAAGAACTAAATGGGTGTGGGGAGGAGGGACAGGAAATTAAAGGAGTTCCTAAGGCAAGGCCAGTACATTCTCAGGAAAATGAAAGGGTTCTATTTAGTGAGGGAAGAGATGAACATGAAGACAGGAAAGGTCCAAAATAGCTAACGTGAGTGGTGGTCTTCACTGTCTGGAGAGCCCATGGTCCCTAAGCTCCAGCACTATCCCAAGAATGTGTTAATCACTTACCCTTTCTAGTTCCTCCTGGTGGAACCACACAAAGACAGGAAATCAGAAAGCGCAAAGCAGAAGACATTCCTTTATAAGACAGGAAATTAAGGCACTAGGAGCATAAATGACCCCTGTGCCACTGAAGAAGTGTAGAAGCAGGAAAGTTTTTTTTTTTTTGGTTTTTCTCCGGTACCGGGAACCGAACTCACAACCTTGTGCTTGCCAGGCAGGCGCTTTGCCGCTGAGCTAAATCCCCAGCCCCCTAGGAAAATTTTTGTTTGTTTGTTTTTTTGTCTTTTTGAGATTGGGACTCACTATGCAGTTCAGGCTGGCCTTGAGCTCACTTTGTAGCCCAGGCTGGCCTCAAACTCGCAACGATCCTCCTGCCTCAGCCTCCCAAGTGCTGGGATTACAGGTGTGCACCACCACGCCTGGCTTGAAAGCAGGTAAGTTTTAAGAGCTGTTCAACTTTGGTGGACCTAAATGCAAGGGCTTTAAGTCTCACCAGCCTAACCAAGAGCCTTGAATATAATAGGAATACTTTCCATGACACAGGGACTTCGAGAAAATAGGTTATTTTTTTTTGAGACAAAATCTCACTATGTAGTTCAGGCAGGTCTTAAACTCACAATGTATCCTAGGCTGACCTCCCATCCAGCTCATTGTGATCCTCCTGCCTCAGCCTCCCAGGTGCTGGGATTACACAGTGGTTTGTTCAGTTTGTCAGCACCGCTCACTGTGAAGGATGACTTACACCGGGTCTCAGGGAGGCCCCTCCCTCAGAAGCCTCTGCTGTACAGGCAGTTACGACAGAACATGCCCTCTTGTCCAGCAAAAATGAGAGGCTCCAGCTAAAACTCCATTTTGGGGTCCCTGGCTCCAAGGTGCTTTGCACTCACGCCCTAATCTGAGAAAGAGCACCACAAGGTAGGCGTAACAGAAGGAAAGACGTGGGCTGTGACACACACCTTTACTTTAACGCTGCTGCTGCCCTGTACTCCTTCCCCGTGATAAAGTATAAACTTGTAAGCACTGTCATTTGGATTTCTCTGAGTCTTGTCTTGTAATTAAACCCTGTCTCGCTGCCACTGTTAATACAACTGACCTATTTCTAATGAACACAGTAACGCCTCTCTACAACAGCAAAAATTCTAACGTCTCATGGCCCTGCCTTCTGCCATGCAGTTAAGTCAGCGGAAACCTATCGGGAACCCTTAACATGTCTACAAGGGAGACACATGCAGCAGCATTACGAGGCCAGTATCTCTGCCAAGCACACTGTAAGAGTGAAGGACAACAAGATCGCCTCGTTACCTTCGTATTTTTCCAGGGCTTGTATGACGTTAGGGAGTTGATTGATACCCTGGTAGAGCCGGTAACAATCCTGTAAATTTGCAGCTTGTCTCTGGAATTTCTTGGCAAGACGGTTAAGATCCGGGAATCGCCGAAGCAAATCCTCTTGCAGACTCTGCCGCAATTCTGCATCTTCCACAAAAGCCTCCACTAAATTTAATCTGAAATAAATTGTATTGGATGTTAAATATATTTTAAATGTTACATATATTTTAGTATAAAATTAGACCTGTCAACTAAAGTTGAGGACATAGTTAAATGGCAGGATACGTGTTGAGAACGTGCAAGGCCTTGGGTTTGATCCCCAGCTCCACAGTCACCTCCACTCCCCAAAATGCCAACCACACATGCAAGTCTCAACTCAATAAAGTTAAAACTCCACAGAAGGAAACTACATTAAAAAAAAAACTATATTGTGAAACGTTAGCTTTTCCAGAGGGTGAACAGTTCCGTAAGACTATGAGACAAACACTCATTTCCTGGTTAGCAACCGTCAAATTAATGCTGAGTAGTTTCAGAACATATCCAATTTTGTCTGATTTGCATCAAATTGACATTTCTTAAGTAGGAGAATTTCATTACTGACACACTGTTATACGTGTAAACAGTGATGTTTAATAAAACAGAATTACAGCTCAACAGTGTTACCAAGTCCAATATTTACTCTATCATAAGGTCTTATAAATTTTTAGAATGCTTTCTAAAATTGTATCTTTTTTTTTTTTTTTGGTACCAGGACTCGAACTCATGATGTCACGCTTGCCAGCCAGGTGCTGTGCTGCTGAGCTATATCCCCGGCCCTAAAATTACACCTTGACATTATAAAGCTAAAAACTTTTAATTAAAAAACTGAAATAATTTTATTGCTTCCTAAAATCAATAATCTCAAATTGTTTCAAGAACCATGAAAAATGTAGATCATACTGCTTTTGCAATTTACTGGAAACCAGAGACTTCCCATTTTTTCGGTATAAGCTATAGCAAGACACTTTCTACATCAAGACCTCGCACACCCTTGAAGATGCACTAAGTGCATGCTCCACGACCCCACGGTGCACGGAATCGTTGTGCACCGCAAACACGTGCTAATACACATTTCAAAAGCCAGCACACACATGTGTATGTGATTAACGTAAGTTTCACAAACAACACTTGCTTTCACTGCACACGATGTGCTCCCTTCTGCTTTGTTTTAGGTGGCAGCTTACCCAGGGTCTCTGCACTGAGCTACGTACCCCCTTTTATTTTTTATTTTGTGACAGGGTCTTACTCAGTTGCCCAGGTTTGGCTCGAATTTTTGATTCTCCTACCTCAGCCTCCTAGATTTCTGGGATTACAGGCATGTACTACAATGCCAAGCTTATTTTATTTTTTAAACAGTGTTCAGGGCAGGACATGTAGCTCAGTGCTAAACAACACCCCAGGCTTCTCTACCCACCACCCACTTTCTTGGAACTACGACAAGAAGTATCTGTAGCCGCCGATGAATGTGCGCCTCCCTCCTGCGGAGCAAGAGCGGTCCCTCGGATTGGCACCACTAGTTTAAAGGAATCAGAATGAAAATTTCACCTTTTAACTGGGCCCAATGACACATGCTTATAATCCCAGCTGAAGAGCAAGAGGATTCAAGTTCAAGGCCAGCCTGGGAAATTAAGTGAGATTGTAGGGACAGGGAAAAGGATAAAATAGGATCTCATTAAGCTTTAGTAAAGACATTAACAGGAAATCTTACTAAGGCAGTTTTTTGCCTCTGCAGCTAACACTCCAGCAATTAGAAAGACAAAGGTAAAGAGAAAGAAATCAGACCTGGGAGGGTACCAGGTAACAAAATTAATGTAAGGATTTAGCAAAAAGAGTGGACAGGCAAAACAGAGACATAGCAAGAAAGAATGCAGACAGAGGTGCTCAGGTAAGGATCAAAGACAGCCGAGTCAATCAGATGGCGACCACTTCCAGGAGCCCACGTGGGGGACGGGAGAGATCGCTTGTCCTAAACAAAAAGGAGCTGAAGACAAAAACCCACCACTTCTGATGCATCCTGCTCTCCGGGTAGCTGTCTATCTTATTTCTTTTACGTCTTTTTCCAAATAAACTCTTATTTTAAACTCTGCCTCTTTAGGAGGATTGCTGAAAGTTCAAGACTACCCTGGGCTACAAATCCAGCTCAAGGTCGGCCTGAACTGCATAGCGAGACCCTGTCTCAAAAATACAAAACAAATAAATAAAATAAATAAACTCTGCCTCTAGTTCATTACTGAAGCTGACAGTTTACATGAACATGGCGGTTTCATGTTCCAGACCAGAGGGGTGAGCAGAGCATACATCCTGTCCTGCCACAAGATCCTAGCTCACTACACCAGGGATGCGGCTCAGTGGTTGAATCAGCCACGCACAAGGCCTTGGGTTCAAGCCCCAGTGCTAAGCTGCTATCAAGCAAGCTTGTATTATCAACCAGCTGCTAGGGCTGTAAACAAACATCAAAAAGAGTAATTCAAAAGCCAGGCATGGTGGTGCATGTCTGTAGCCCAGCACTTGGGAGGCTGAGGCAAGAGGATCACCAGGAGCTCAGGGCCAGCCTGAACTACATAGCAAGACTTTGTGTCAAAAATAAGTAAAATAATAGTAAGAATTATTATTATTATTAATGAATATAGTGCTTCAAAAAAACTTTGATGTCAAATTTTTTAAAACCCCCAAAAAAGAAACAAACAGGGACTGGGGATTTAGCTCAGCAGCACAGCACCTGCCTGGCAAGTGCAAGGTCGTGAGTTTGATTCCTGGTACCAGAAAAAAAACAAAACAAACAAACAAAAAGAAACAAGCAACATGCAGAACCAAACCACACAATTCCCAGCTAACCCTCTGGCTCTAAGAGGGTTTCCACAACCCCAAAATCGTTAGAATTCGAGGGACTGTGGTACATACTGTAATCATGGATACTCAAGAGACCGAGGCAGGAGGATCCCAAGTTTGAGGCTAGTTTGTACAACTTAGCAAGACCCAATCCCAAAGTGAAAAATAATTTTAAAAGGTTAAGGATTTAGCTCAGTGCAGAGGGCAAGAATTTGATCCCCAATACTGAAAAAGGGAAAAAAGAAAAAACTCCAAGAACTAAGCAAACTTGGTAAGCCACAGATCAAAGGACAGGGGAGAGTGTTCTAAAGAACGAGCAAAGCAGAGATACACATTGGTAAGTACCTCAGAGTGAGGACAATGAAGGTATTTTCCACCTCTTTGTCTTATTTTTCAAAAGCCCTGGAACAGAGACAGCATCTCTGTGTTAACCAGTTTTCTTTTCTTTCTTTCTTTTTTTTTCTTCTATTTTTCTTGCTTGGTTTTTCAGCACAGGTCTCCTTATGCAGCCCAGGCTGGCTTTGAACTCATGAAGAGATCCTCTTGCCTCAACCTCCAGAGGGCTGGGGTTACAAGTATACTACTAACAGGTTTTAAAGATATTCAATCCATTTCCAAATGATTTAAATGCTTTATCAAATAAATCTTTTTACCTTAAACTGTTTAATTTCTCCTTTTCTGTGGACAAATTCTTTTTCCAAACTGGACTTTACATATATGGTATCAAAATTCACTTTCTAATAAATTTCAGATACAATCATCAACCTTCTCTTATTTCCTAAACCTCTAAATTTAAAACAAAATAATTGGGATACTCAAAGAAATATGTCAAGCTTAACTGGTCAATTCTCAGAAATTAACCTCAAAAAATGAACATTAAATTTTCATTTATTGTATAAAGTTCTAGTAAAAGCTTAGCAAGGGGTAAAGGAAAAAAAGCTTCTAAAAAGCACAGCATAATGTTCACTGTCCCCTCCATCTTTGGTCCAGACAGCGTGAAAACCGTAATACTGTAAACTGCTAGTTTCACAAGTCTATTTAGTACACCATTTCTGAAATAATCAGTGTCAGTTTGCTTCTGACTAAAAGAAGAAGAAAATGCAAAAAGATTCTGCTGTTTCCATGACAATGCCACTTTTACATCTCAATTATAGAAGCACTAAAGTTACTGCTGGCATAACACAGTATACCTATCAATGCTACTCAAGTTTCTCAGCTGTACACATTGTGATGCAATATTCATTTGTAGATTGACTAAAATACAAGATAAATTTTTAGGGTCAGTTAATCCCTAAAACTCCAACAAAATTCATCGTGAATCTTTGGGTTTTTTAAAATCCACACTCAGCTGCTTCTAAAAACTATCCTTAGGCTGGGTGTGGTAGCACATACCTGTAATCCCAGCACTCAGGAGGCTGAGGCAGGAGGACTGCTACGAGCTCGAGGCCAGCCTGGGCTACAAAGTGAGCTCAAGGCCAGCCTGAGCTGCATAGTGAAACTCTGCTTCAAAAGAAAAACCAAACAAAAACATACCACTATCCTTTTAGATCCCTCGTTGTGAGAATTGCCTGCTAGCACACGACAGCATACTGACAAGGCTGAGAAGGGGCGCGGTACCTACAGAACTGCAGCAGCACATGTCCGATCTGGCCCTCCTCTCCTGTGGCTGTTCTACTTGAGTGTGTACAGTGCAGCATTTTGAAAATTTTTCTGTGACAGGAGTCAGCAAGTTGCAACTCACTGTTCCACAGGCAGGGCGCGTCAGCTTCTCCACCTGCACTGTGGGAGCCTTCTTGGGCCTATCCAGCGGCACAGCGGCAGGACTGACAGTAAGAGCTGTCAGACCATGACCTGGGCTACAGCAATGAAGTCAAAAGTATCTGGACTTCAGGTGTATTGTACATACACCGGAGACAAAACACACCACTGCCATGAAAAGATGATGGTTCCTCAAACAACAAAAGCCAGTGTCCTTTGTCCCCTTCAGGTCAGCCACGGTGAGACTTTTGATCCCTGGCTGGACAGCACCGATACCCTTCCTCAGCCTGAAGCAGCTGTTCAAAGACGGGCCCTCGGCCTTTCTGCATCCTTTGAGAACAAGAGATTAAAGGGGTGGGAGTGAAGCAGGATAAAAAAAATAAAGACAGGAGACAAGGAAAACCATAACTAAAAAACTCTACTTTTAAGAAGACTGCAGCTCCAGGACACAAAATTACTCAAAATTAACCAAAATTACCCATATCAATATTCCTTACATTTGGGTTTTTTTTTTTTTTTTTTTTTGATTTGGGTTTTTGAGAAAGGGCCT